AGAACAAAAAGGATATCCATGCCAGGCTACTTTCCCAGTACCCTGATGTACCATGGTGGTGGTACGGTGCCTTGACTGTAAGCCTTACCTCCCTCTGATTCGAACAAGCTGACAATAAAGGTTATTATCGTTGCTCTTGCGATCATGACGCAGTATGTCTGGCATACGGGGCTTCCGTTCTGGGGCTTGTTTATCACGTTGGCTCTGGCAGCGATTTATGTGATCCCGGTTGGAACAGTATATGCTGTGGCAAACCTTAACAGCAACTGTCTGACCGTTCTGGGAGAAATCGTATCCGGCTATCTGTTGAAAGGAAAGCCGCTCGTTCTCTTGATATTCAAGGTGAGATCCCAGGCTAAGACATTCATCTGCGAAGTCATCATTGACAAATGATAGTTTTATGCGTACACTGGGCTGAGCCAAGCCATGTATTACGGCGCAGACATGAAGGTTGGTTGGGCCTCCGGATATATTTGATAAGTGTCTCCTGTTGATGAATATCTGCAGCTTGGAATGTATATGAAGATCCCACGGCGAACTCTTTTCGTTGCCCAACTGGTTGCCTGCATTCTGGGAACTTTGACGCAGAGTGAGTGAATTATATACATCCACTTTTTGACTGCAGACCGCTGATTCGGAAAGACGGGGTCCTGCTCTGGATGCTTGGAAATGTGCAAGACGTGTGCTCGGAGGACCAAGCGGACAACTTTACCTGTCCGCAGGGTCGGGTCAACTATAATAGTGCCGTTCTATGGGGAGGTATGACCGCTCCACCGCTCCTTTTGGCCGGCGCAGAATATCACTGACGATGGTACAGCTATCGGACCTACCAGACTATACAATATTGGAAAGATTTATTCCGGTCTTCTGCACTTTTTCTGGATCGGAGCACTGCTCCCTATTATTACCTTTGTATTGCGCAAGAAATACCCCAAGTCTCGGTTCCTGGACGCCATCCACTGGCCGATCTTCTTTGCCGGCACGGGTAACTTGCCTCCTGCTGTATGGAAAACCTCCTTGTTAAGAGTGATTCTCTATGCTAACTGATGATGGTAGACGGGTATCAACTATTCCACGGCGTTTGTAGTTAGTCTGATTTTCAACAAGGTGAGTCATCTATCTTCAAATTATGATGAAGTGCGACAACCTGACCGCCTATAGATCATCAAAGGCCGTAAGCCTCACTGGTGGGCCAAGTACAACTACGTACTCTCTGCCGCATTGGATTCTGGCGTTGCCGTTGGAGCCATTGTGATCTTCTTCGCGCTGACATTCCCGGGGATTACCTTCAACTGGTGGGGTAACACCGTCAATAGTGGGACGGTGGATAGCAAGGGCACGCCGTGGCTGGAGTTGAAGGGAAATGAGACTTTTGGACCGGTGACGTGGTCGTGAGAAGTATAAAGAGCAAATTATGACACAACAAGAGGTTATTGGGTGGATGGAAAAGGTTAGCTCAGCTCGTGTGGTATGTATACAGTATTTATGAGGGCGATACATGGGTTTTTCGAAGCGTTGGGTTGATTTATTGATTCGTTTAAACTTTGGTTAAGCCTCTAGAAATACTGCCAGAGGCAATCCAGATATTTATTGAGTAAGATATAGGTAATACCCTTTACGCAGATTGTTATGGAAAATCATGATTAAGCGTGCGTAGTATAAGGGAATACAGTCTGCAAGGTATGTCTATCCCATAACTTTAGAATGAAATCTTGCGATCACGAAGAACTATCCAGGATGTCGTATGTAGAGCCTTCCTAAGCTCCTATCTGGTACTGGATATATATATTCAATCCACTCATGCCTTCCTCGATGTGGGTTATGGTAGTCGTGGAACTCACACCTGGTATCCTGTATTGTTAATTTGAATGTGTCTTTACGCCATTGAATGTCTCTGCAATGTCAGTCAGAGTGGTTAACACCACTCACTCATTCATTCCTACACCACCCCTCCCTCTCTCCCCCTCCAAAAAAGAAGAGAATAGAGCAAAAGAAAGTAGAGAAAAGAAAAAAAAATGAAGGTTATCTTTTTCAAGGCCCGAGCCGCGGATCGAACGCGGGACCTCTCGCAGATATGCTTGGGTTAAATCCCTAAGCGAGAATCATACCACTAGACCACCCGGGCTTGATGGAAAGAATAACCAATGACCTACGCAGGACTCGAACCTGCAATCTCTTGATCCGTAGTCAAGCGCCTTACCATTGGGCCAGCAGGCCATTTGATGAAAAATGGCCGCACTTTACGGCATTAAGAACTAGGAAATAACGGATCTGCCCTATAGATCAAGTCTCCATCGGAACGGAATAAATCATAATTCCTGTTATCGGGATTACCCCATGTGTAGTCAGGCATTAGTCATAAGTAACTATCAGCGCCATGATCCCCTCGGGGATTGTGATAACCAACTATCTAAATCACTAGTCATAGTCTCGATAAGCCTCGCAGCCTCTTCAGATTAAGCCACGGCAGCTCTTATCCGGTCAGCTCGCCAGGCCAATCCGAGTGCTCATTACAGGGATCATCTCAAGCCCACCGTTGCCCCTCTTGGGTTCACCGTTCGGGGCTGTCCACTGTGATCTCGCCACGGCTGGTGGTGGCCTCGACGCCGAGAGTGCATCTCTCCCTCCGAGCGAGGAGTTTCGTTGCTCTTTCGCTCCTGCAACCCGGAGCCAGAAGGTTTCCTTCCCCTTCTATTACTCTGCACCTTTGCCCGGCCATGTAAAGACGCCCCTCCCCTTAGTCGGATGCCGCGCAAGAAGGCTGCAGACCGCGTGGGTCCGGTCAAGACCCGAAGCCGCAGTGGCTGTAAAGAATGCCGCGCCAGTCGAGTCCGCTGCGATCTGAAGAAGCCGATCTGCACCAGATGTCTTGAGAAGGGCTTAGTATGCTCGACCCAACTCGTTCTCAAGTGGGAGTCCGAGTTCGTTAGCCGCGGCTTGGCCTTTGGTAGAGCCGGTGTTTGGAGTAAGGCTCGGGCTGCCGGCGGACTTCCTCCTCCTCCTGGAAAATCTTCGGCTGCGTTCCTCCTTCGCGATCAGGAATGGTGTCCTATTCCGCTTATTGAATCGTGGGGGTTCGTCAATAGTGGGGTGTCGACTTTCGAACAGCCTTATGAGGTTAATGTTGCTTGTGATGAGTTGAATGCCCTTGTTGTCCGGGACAAGGGGAAGAGCCCGGCGCTGGATGACCTGTTGGATGAGAACGCAGACTGGTCGTTATCACCATCGTCATTGTCGTCTCCATCCTCAATTCGTGAGCTCTCCGATTGCTGCTCGCCTGTCCCACTTGTCTCCCCGCACCTGGCCCCGCCTTTGTCGATGTTCCCCAGTCTATCGGACTCCAATCAGGGTCGCCTCTTTGATTACTATCTCCAACAAGTGTGTCCCCGGACCACCGCTAGCTCGAAGCTATCTTCCCCTTTCGCCTCCATCATCCTTCCCTTCTGCATGTCCGCATCTCCAATTCTTTTCAAAGCCATTCAAGCTCTCGGAGCATGTCACTGGTCCCGCTTCGACTCTACTTACAGCGTGATTGGGCTTCGCCTCAAGTCCGAAGCCCTACGGGGCCTCCGCTATCGCCTCTCAACCGAAGGCTCACTCCTCTGCTCCGCAGACCCCGAGGTCCTGGCAATCATGATGATGCTATGCCTCTACGAGATTGTCGACAACTGCGACCAACGCTGGACAATTCACCTGAAAGGCGCCAAAGAATTGATCCGGATCCGTAGACAACAACAACAACTAACCCCCTCCCGACCTCGCCAATCCCTCGACCCCGTCTCCGCATTTGCTGAGCTCTTCTTCGCCTTCCAAGACGTCATGGGACGCACCGCCTGCGGCGAAGAAGTCCTCTTCGGAACGGATTACTGGCAGGAAAACAACCGCAACATTGACCTCTGGATGGGCTGTAGCCCGGAGCTAGTCTCCATCCTCTCCTCAATCACCGAATTGAGCCGAACAAGACGCCAACTGACATCTGAAGCCGCTCGAAAAGCATTCTCCCACCGCGCCGCCTCTCTAGGCCGCAGACTCGAGAACCTCGTCCAGGAAACAACCGACGATGACGACAATAGCGACGACGGAAGCCTCCGCTCCGCCGCTGAACTGAAACGCCTAGCAGCCGTGCTATACCTTCACTGCGCACTATACGGCGCATCACCCTCCACACCACTGGTAATCGGCTACGTCCGACGCATCCTGCGCCTCGTATCTCACCTGCTTGACTCTGGCTCCCTTGTCAGCATGACCTGGCCTGTCTTCGTAGCGGCCGTTGAGCTGGACCCACTTCACGACGAAGTCTGGCGTGACGAAACCGGCGAGAGCGTGGTCTATGGCCGGCCGTTGGTGTTGCGTGCGTTGGCAGCTATGGCTGAGTCGAGTGTGTCGAATGTAGCAAGGACGAGGGCAGTCATTGTGAAGATATGGCAGGCGAGGGACAGTGATATGCTCAAGGGGTCGCCGGTGGATGCGGCGGATGATAGTGTTGCGGGGTGTAATGATTGGGAATGGTATGTTGCGCCGATTAGTACGGCGATGAGTTTGGCTTGAGGCGCCCTGCTGGAAAATTAAGGAAGTGTTGGATGCACGGTTCACCCCTGACATGTGCTATGCAGCTGCGGTGGGCAGAAGAAAGAGGGCATAGCGCTTTGTTTTGATTACTTGAATGACTATATGACTTGGAAGGTTTTTGTAGAATTAGGGATACTGTTTTGGGATATTGGTTTCAATGTATAGTGACTAGACTCAGATTGATATATTGGACATATTCATTCTTCTTTTACTTTATTTCCTAATCTGTAACAGCATAATGAGCCCAACTGACTTTTAATTCTGTGAAAAGAGCGCCCCATAAAATAACATTCCCGAATCTCGCAAAGATTATATTCTTACCAGTAGATACAGCGATCATCAAGACGTACAAACATAAGCACATAGGTATATACGAAGCCCAAGCAACACCAGATCAAGCGCATACTTCCTCCAAGCTCCCAAATTAAGCATCACAAAACACCATCAACTGTGTCCTCTTGACGCGTTTCAGAACCACCACCGCTGACAGGAAGGGTATTAAGAGTCGTCTACATCAACCAGTGTCAGAATAGCGTAAATTATGCCCCCACACATCTAATCCGATATGAAACAGCTCACCTCATCAACCGAGACCTTTATTTCCACATCTTTCACACAATTAATCCATCCAGGGAACTATCAGAGCATTGATGATCAGTACCACCACCCGTAATAATAGTCTATCAATCAAGACTACTGCTACTACTACTATTGTAGACTAGACACACACCCACCTGTGTGCGAGCCCAAACGACCAATCGATCCCCCTCGCCAAGACAGGACAGGAACTCAGCTTCCTCACCACCATCTTCCACTCTCCAAATTACAACATGTTGTTGCCAGGACCTTTGGATCTTGTTCGAAGCCACTCGCTTCGCAATGGCTCCCGGCTTGGTTGGGTCTTCTTTGGGGATGTGCTTGAAATGCAAGCCCTGGTCCTGCAAGACTTGGCGGAAATCTTCGGGTTTAGGCTTGAGATATGATGAAGGATGATCCGACAAGTCAGAAAATAAGGAGAAAGTATCGTCAACATCATCTCGGTCAGAGGTGCAGCCCAAGATGGACACATCGAACCATGACCAGATGCCCTGGCTTCTATCGCTGCACCATCCTTGGTCGTGGCTCATGATGTTGAACTGGACTGCAGAGACTCCGCGCGGAAGGGGTGGTGAGATGAGGTACATTGCTGTCCATTGGTGAGAAGTCATGAATTCATTGCGCGGTGGTAGGACCAGGATCTCTGATCGGCTGCCGTGTGGATGGAAACTTCTATGTCTCTCGGAAGAAGATGTCATGGTTGATGAAGACCTGACGGTTTGATCGTACAAGCCACAGGATGAAGGTTTTGGGCGCTGGATGCTGAGTAGTAGGTTTGTGAGCATTTGAGAGGGGAAGGGAAGAGCCCTGGGGGATGGGTTTCCTTACTCATAAGCGTTCCTCTCAGCCTCGTCTTCTCAGAAATTAATCTGGCACTGACAGGGATCTTCGGATAGCTGCCACCTTATTGGACGCCTCACGTTCTGTACTGAGACACCACCTACCATTATGTGGATGAAGGGTAAATCCCGCAAGGTGTACGCATAGCCTTGTGAGTTATGGATGTTTAACGGGTCATAATTGACGCTTCATTGATTGCGTTTTGACTCAATATGGAGCAGCGCTATGAGATAAATACACTATTCCCTAGCTTGATCAAATTCCATACATCTAGGAATATATGGGGACGATGGAAGTATTGACCTCTTTGTAGAGGGAAATGAGGTAACTGTAATATACATGAATCTAAATGATACGCCAGGTGGGATACCGCCGAGGGTTCCTCAATAAGAAGATATAGATAGCCACTAAATGTACCTGAGCAAAGTTTCTGATATTGACCATTATTTGACAATTTTTTGTGTTGCACGCCCTCTGCTTTATTCGACCCTCAATGGAATTAATATTACAACTAAGCTTCTGTGCCAGAGAGGAAAAGAAGGACTATTGTCAGATCCGAGTCTGCCTCTCAACGGCTTTACACCGTAGCGATCAAGTAAGGTACTGAATCAGTCCGTCAGTCCGTCGGTCCGTCAATCCAAAAGCTTTCATCGTGCCGACATGCATCCAAAGAATAACCATACTGCCGAAATAAATCGAATCGTTGCCCGCGGCGCCGAATGACGCAACGATATCCATCCCCGTGCTGTGCATCTCTAAAGTAGAACACATCGCTAGGCTGCGTAAACTCGGAGGCGTAATGGCCCACCGCTTGAAGTTCAAGGGGGCCATCGGATCCAAAGGCCCATGTTAGGAACTGACGAAACGATGGCAGGTTCTTATCGCTAATATCATCCCAACAGTCGGGGGTTACCAAGTATGACGGATCGTAAAAGCCTTTGCGCCGCCTCAGATGGAGAACACGAATATTTGCTTTGATACCTGGCGAGGTCAAAATAGACTTCTAGAATATGGTCTATGTATTAGTTATTGCAATAGCAGTTGAGAACTTGAATAAAGTTGACGCGTACCAAAGTACTGAAATCATTGCTGGAGATGCCTAAAAACTCAAGCTTGGGACCGACGAATGGGTTTTGGTCAGTACCCGTCAATTGCTCAAGAAAGCCGGTTGCACCCAAGTAAAGACCATGTTCCTCGGACTGGTAATCATCAATATATTCTTGCTGGCATACGAGCTTTCTCAATGTTTTCTTGTGGGTAAACACAGATTGCCATATTGGAACTGGACTTATAAAACAATAAGTTGAGATGTACAACTCTTCTAGCCCTTCGAACGGATTAAGGAAAGCTGGTAGTGCAGAGACACTATCTCCTCCAGCTCGCCTCATACCAGTCTCCAGCGTCAAAGACTTCAAGGCGATTCTGGATCCAGAGTTGAGAAAGTTGAGTAAGGCATACTCCCAGGATTGGCACAGACGCAGACTCAAGGATAAAAGTGTGGTGATGTTGAAGATAGATGAAAAGGCGTGGGATATCGGTGTCAAGTCCATGAAATACAATGAAAGATATCGAAGAACGGGAAATCGGCAGCTTGTTCTCCAGTCATGCATGTCCAAGATCTTTTTGACGAGCATTGATCGTATGGATTGCGTTACTTTGTAACTAGATGTATCCGTGACTCCCAAGTTAATGAGAGTAAGATGGAACGCATTCAGTTTCAATGCTGAACACAGTTCACGAACATGACGTTTCCAACGTAGGTCAGGCCATGATATGCTTCTTAAACACGCAAACCTTGATAGCAAGATATTACTGCTGCCAGCAGCACAAGAGCTACCTGTTCTTAGATGAATAGCTACAAGTTTGCGCTGATTCAGTGTAAGATATCCAGAGACACCGAGAATTTCGCTGGGTACACAGTTGCCAACGTCCCAGCTGTGGTATAACATTCTTATCTTAGCTGGTCTTGCTTTTGAAGATAAGAGATACTCTAAGCTTACCTAAATCTTTGGAGCCTATCCGCTGCACATCTTGAAAACACCTGCAGTAGCTTGGAAGGCAGATAGCGTACTTCTTCATCTCCCTCTATTCTAACTCCTTCGTAATTGTCGTATCCTCTCATCCGCATATAGTTGTGTAAACACTCATCATCGGGCCAGGAGCGGTTTTCCTGAATCTCAATATCTCTCATGTGAACTAGTAAGTCAACTGGGGAGACAGGTGCTCGGAGTAGGGAGTCAACATGGTGCCATGTCTCGCTGATTCCAGGTCTATTGGAAGTTAAAGTTACAGATTTGTACAGAAGTGGAACTGCAATAGCGTAGAGGTGCTTGGAAACGCGGCATATGTTGTTGAGATCGTGGCGGGGTACGTACTGTGATAAGTCAGCCGGCTTCGAAAAAGGCCAATTCAGGCCGTTAGGCGCAGATTTCACTTACTTCCAGTGCTATGAGAAGAACCTCAGGGGGTAGTCTGTCAAGCATATTGACATTGATGATAACTAGCCCTATTCTTAGAGTGGAGTTGTCCTTGTCAGATTGGGTGAAGTCAGGACAAGAGGGGTTGGCAATAAATAGTCGAGGTGCAGTATTTGAATCTAAGGCTGCGCAGGTTTCAAAACACAAGGTGAGAACGCGTAGCCGATATATTCTGAGGCTTCTTGAGACATATAAGACTGACCGAGGTCTGGGAAATGTCATCATAGCAGCTTGTGAGAAGTGAATAAACACTGGATATTCACTCTAGTGTGAAGAATTCTTGAATCACCTGATGCAGCGTTCGCCTCGAACCGAGGCGTCGGAAGCGCAGTTTAGTCTATTAGAAAGAGATGAATTAGAAAGAGATGAAAGACCTGCAGAATTATGCGTTTGAGTGTACGTGTCTGATAAGGAAGATCTAAATACATGCAGTAAAACGGCTGAAGGAGATGTTGTGTTCGATCTCCCTCCCAAAGGGGAAGGTGCCCGTGGCAGCTGACCCCATGCTATATCTTGTGGCCTCTTTATGGCTCACCATCAGAACCTATAAAGTACTAATATACTCAGTTAGTGGGTGAATGCGAATGATTGGACTCTTCGATGGTTATGTGATATGAACAGTGTAGAAAACTACGTTGTATAACATACTATATTGGTAGAACTGCGACAAGAGGGTTCTAGTATGGGATTATATAACCATAGATGAAACAAACAACTGTACTAGATTAGTACTAAAGTGCAGTTGATCATGGCTCATGATTCTTGACTGTTTCTCTTTTTCTGGCATTTCCTCTCGTCACGGGGGACACGGTGAGGATGGAAAGAGTTAGTACTATTAAAGGAATTAAATTAGTGTTTGCTTATCATGAATTTCACGTTTGTGATGGCAACAAGACTGGCCATTACAACACCAATAGTCAAAAAAGCCCCAGAGGGACACAGCAATACACAACCTGCTTTGAAGTGGTTGAAGAGGATCTTTAAAAACATACTTGTTCCGCTGGTCTGGATAACGGTTCTTTTACCAAACACCGAAGACACACGCAGCATGAAGGATTGCCAGAACATGTAAAGGTTGGTAGATGCCCAGAGAATACCAGTAGGCACTGCCAGACTTTGCTAACCAGATATTGTTGGACATCTTTCCCCAAAGAACCATGGCAATGGCCAGAGGGCACCAGAATGTTGGCGGGCTTTTGTCTTCTTGCTAGGGGTTAATCAGTCTTACTATCCTAGCAGTTGACTGCCGAGCTGACAGTCTATTCCAACTCGGCCGAGACGGCTGCGTTGGATACCATTGCTTCTATGACTTTGCAGTATCCAGGATATTGGAACTTTACTTCAAGTCCATTTTGCTAGATTATGCTTCCACATTTCTTTGCTTATAACTAAGAGCACCCCGAGTCCGCCAAAACCCGGTGCCCTTATCTCCATATCTTGTCTTCATCTCTGAATGAACGTATAACCCATTTATTGCTTGTCGCTAAAGCTCCTGACTGGTTTGCGGCCGTCCGACACCTTCTGGGGCATGCTACCTATGGCAAAAATAATTAATAGGTAATCCTTATCATGGCGGAAGACAGTTACTGTAAATTGCTTCATAAATACTGTGACTTTCAAGCAGAGCCCAAGGACCAAGAGGCCTGCAGAAACCAACAAAAGAATACTAGAAGCTCTACCAAGGCTAGAATAGAGCTCCTTGATCTGTGCCAAGATAGGTCCCAACTGTTCGTGCTTCAAGCATATGAGACCTGTCACAGAATGAGTCTTTGAGCCAGATACGGAGAGAACATATTAGATCACTATACCTCGCCGTATAAGTGCCCACACAAACAGACTGACACCGCAGAGATAGAGGATAAGAGAAGAAAAAGAAGCAATCTTCTGTCCTCTACTTAAACCGACGGACCTTTGCGAAGCCAGAATTGCTCGTCCTCCTAACACGAGGGCGAATATCGTGAATGCGGTGATTAGATCAAACATTTCAGGCAATACTGTGTCAATGATGATGCCACCAGCTTTTGTCGTAGATGTATGTATGAGTGACGGATATTCAACGATAACGCGATACAGGGCTCTAAATATCTCGAGATGGTTTGTAATCAAGTTGCACGTGCGAATTTAATCCAAAATATACTCTTGATATCCAGAAAAATTCCTCGCATGGACTCAAGGCGCGTAAAATGGCAACCTGGTGGTTTCCACCCCACCGGTCCTTATCTATAGAGGTAGTGGGTCTGGAACGCGTAAGCTGACTGGACGGCGAGCAAGTTAGATGTGCAAATCTTTGTTTCCTCGCGCTACGTCTTGTATGCTTGTATGTAGACCGACTATATCGCTTCCTCGAATTTCAATTTGAAGGCGTTCTCCTCATTAACCAATAGTTACGTGAGGCTCTTACATAAGACACCGGGCGAAGCCCTAATAATCATCGTGAAGATCCTGGAAGAGAAATTGATGATTATTGAGGTATGGAATCTAAGTAGGTAAAGCTTGAACCGGGTAATCAATGGAACTATGGGCCTTAGTCCGTGGGTCTCGACAATATGCGCTCCAAGGTTCGAAGGTTTTTTGTTCACAGTATCTTGTTGTTTAACCCTCTCGCCTCTCGCTTTCCGGACTTCAGGGGAGGCCAAAGTCGGAGTATGAATACGTTACTCGCACCATATTAACTATTTATATAAAGAGTCATGTAATTGCACAAAGTTTCCGCCTCACATATCAGTAGGTATGGGGATTGGTGCATTTTGATTGCGTCCAGAGTTTAAATGTTTGGACCCGCTGTAGCTCTTGTCGAGGTCTATGAAAAACAACACTGTCTCGTGGCCTTTCACCAACTGATAGCAGTATCTTCGGCCCGATAAAGTTAAGGACGAGCTATGGGAGCTAAAAACACTAAAGATGGCGCTTTGTGGGGAGGGTGGGGGGCCGCAATTTATCATCGTCTCCTATCACGTCCATTCATTCTATCAGCAGTTCGTTAAGCACTTGAGGAATGCACATATAGAATTTCAAGTTCGGAGGGTGTGTGTAAGACACGATTGACCAAAGCTCAATTTAAAGAGGCTGTGGAAGAACAATTGACCCAGATGTCAAACAATAAGGACAAATTTTCGTGCTGGACTTACACGGGTGGACATGGCTGGTATGGCGAGGTCAAATTCATGGGATTTTCTGATGGAGATGTGATGTCGGGTGCCTGCGACGGGAGAACGTGCAACGCAACATGACGACAACAGTTGCTCCGCGAAATAGTCTGATTTGAGTCTGTATAAGGATTAACTGGGGTAGGCAAATATGTATACGCGAACAGCTTTGTCGAAGTTTGGTTAAAAGACAGAGTCCCGAGGACAATGCAGTCATCTCAGGTTATTGCTCTACTAAAATGGAACAGAACGAGCCAGACGAAGATTAATGGCTCAATATCCGTGTCATCTGATGAGCCGTGGTGAAGCGCGGTTAACCCCTCGAGTTCGTCGATGCTACTCTCTACGAACATCCTCATCAATCCGAAACCAGGAAATCCATGTTCGCCATCACTGAAAAGTGCCCAGGCTGAGCGCTTGAGTGCTCCTTGACTCACAGAACCTGCGCCAAAATAATATAAATGAAACTAAAATCAAGGTACCACTAGTCCACGTTACTGCCTTTAACATTTCCAGTTGGAGGTGTTCAGGTGGAGAATGTGCAGAAAATAGATGGAGCCTAATCGCTCCTATCTTGTTGCTTTTGCGGGTAGTAGCGGAGGGCCCAGCAAGGGAGGGTTTAGTAAGGGGTTTTCAATGTGGCCAAGCAAAGAAAGTGTCTTGCATCTTGCGCACAAAGTATGACTACAACAAACGACCATATTCTAGGGCATTATGCTGCGTTATCGATCGCAAAGTGGAGATCTGTGTTCGGATAACAGTAAAGAAGGTATCACGTTCTCGTCGCTCTCACTAACACGAATGCATGAGACATATAAAATCCTTATGCTCAAGATTAAGGTCGTAAGCTATTGTAGGGATGTTTTGCTGAAAGGATTGTAAGGATTACTGAATGTTTTCGGAAGAGGTACTCCCGAATGCAGGATAGGAAACAGCAGCTCGTTAAAGTATGCATTGTAACTATCACCAAATCACGCAGTTCCCCCGCCAGTATCAGAGCGGATGCTGTGAGCCAGTCTCATGCAAGGATACCTTTCCAAGCTGGCATTCGATGAAATCTAGGTTTGGAGGACGGCATAAGCATTTAACCCCATTCATGTTTAGTCGACTTACGTATCTCCTCTGCGTTGTATGACGTCGCAGCCACCCTTTCATTTTTTGTTTTCAACAAGGTTGAAGATAATCTAAACTCAAGATTAAAGTACGCGCATCTCTGCATTTTTCTGCCGCTGATCAGCGCAGTGTTGTCAATGATTGGCAGGATCTGATTTAGACTTTGATCTGTTCAGTGAAAAAGGAAAAACTCCTGTAATGTCGTGTCACGATTCTTGGAATGTGGAATGGAAGGGAAGTAGATGATGCCTGATGTGGATTTCATTGGCTCTAGCGGCCGACTTCCTATCTAATGTTGATGCATTCGAAGTGGTCATGGGTCTTTGAGCCTAACTTCCACTAGGTAGTGTGAGTGGCCACGGAGTTGTCACCCATCCGAAGCATCATCATGTACCCTTATATAAGTTCAGACCAGTCGGCCCGGGGTTTGTACACTGGATCTGGAACGAGATCTGTTGAGCTCTCGCGTTCCGTGTGCGAACTAACTTTATGTTTGTCATCTACTTCTAGCTTTGCACTTCTTGTTGGCTGAGACTACAAAATGTTACCTACCTCTCTCTACGGGAATTTTAGCTGCTCCCATACGCTCTCCTCATGTAGCATTTCAAGGTATAGTACACTGTCCTAACAACCTTCGAACTTTTTGCTGTTACATCGGACATATTTCTCCTCTTGGGAAGTGACATCACGATTGACTAATAGAAGTAAATTAATTTCTAGGATAATATTCACAGCACCGACTGTTCGTCGATCTTCTTACTCTACTGAAGTTCCCAAACCTTGGGGAAGAGTGTCTGAGAAACAATACACCAGACCTCTTGATGGCATGGAGGCTGTAATGAGACAAATATCTATCAGCCACCCGCCTGGTCGCCGAACATACGACGTTGCTGCCGCTGTCAAAGTGCGGACTCACCTCACTGAGGAGGAACTGACCAAGAAGGGGCGACTAGCCTGGCAGAATCTACGATACAAGCATCCATTAATGGCAAGCTCTATTGTCGACGGAGACTGGATATACAATGTGCCATACGGCAAGGAGTTAGAAGACTGGACCGAGAAAACCTTTCTGTCACTAAGTTCATGCCAAAAATACACAGAAGATGTACTCAACAGCTTAGGCCCAGTGGAGTTTCCCATGCTGCTCCATCTCAAGGACCGCAATGAATTTATGTTGAAACTCACTCACTGTCATTCAGATGCTCAAGGGATAGCTCTGTGGTTTCACGACTTTCTGAATGAGCTATCGTGTCCTGATATTGACACCGTTCGATGGAAACCAGGAGAAGAGGTTAACAACCTCCCTGTTGAGACGTGGGATGCGGCTGAGATCACACGGCTCCCACAATCGTGGGTTGAGGATCATCGAGGTTTCTTTCCTAAGAAGCAGCTTAAAGCACCGAGGACCTTAGGCTTAGAAAGAAAACCTACAGAAGCGCATCGTCCGTCAACATACGAGTTCGAAAGATACCGATTCTCGGTTAAATGCTCAGAAACGATCATTGCCGGGGCGAAAAAACTAGGCCTCACGCTTACTCCGTTTGCTCATACAGCCATCGCCCTAGCTGCAAAGGAGCAGGCCAATCTACCTGATGGTGTCCAACATAACACATTCCTGGTTTCAAGCCTCCGGGGACAATGCAAAGGACGGCCTGAACTTGGTAGTCATGCGGTTGCATTGCGCTTTGGATTGTGGCCTATTCAAGTCGGAATTCACGATTTCTCGAAAACGTCCAAGGAGTTGATGAACTGTTATTCTTCCTACAAGAGCAATATGACGTCGTATATACCGATTATGACAAACGTTTTGGCCGATATGGATCCCGATGTCGTGAATGATGTGATGTCCACTTTTATCTTTAGTAGCGTCGGGGACTTGTCGCCCTACATGAGAGCTTCATATGGCGAGATTGAGCTGGAGGATTATTGGGTTATCAATCTTCCAGCCAATTCATCAATATTTATCGCTATGGAGTCCCGGCTGGGTCAATTGGAATTAAGGGCTTGTTATAATGGCGCTTTCTATGAGTCGTCTCGCATCAGGTCTTTCTTGGATTTAACAGGCAGGATTCTTTTGGAGGCTGCTACATGAGCGTGCAATTTCGGCACTAGCTCTCAATTTTGTGTATTTCCTTTCCCTCTCATCCACGACGAAGGCATGCATTGTAGTATGTGAAGAGTAATAATAACAGGAATGAATTGATGTTCACAAGGCGACTCTCATGTGTAAGCACCTACGTCACTGTATGCTAGATAATTTGGTAAGCAGACCTCGCTATGGAAGGTGGCATATAAAGCAACTCATTTCTACTTAAGAGTCATGACACATGTATCAGAAGACAGAAGACACCGAGCCATAGCAATGACCAGAATCTACATGAAGTTCAGACAAACCCCGACGCAAGATCCTCTGGCAACGCGGCAGCAGCATAATTCTCAATAATTATCGCAGCGACGATACCACGAAATAGCCCGCACCCATACCCTGAAACAGAGACATGTTTGTCCAACAGCCGAAAGTCCCCGATCCCTCTGGGGTACCATTCTACAGCCTCCAGAGTTAGTTCAATCAACTTAGCCTCGCCGTCCACACCCGTGTCTGGGCTTATCAGCCAGACAACATGACCAACCGCAGCTCCGCTCATACACCGTGTCAAATCTGGCTGTCAAGGACGTATTGTCTTTGTGAAGATCATTCATGGCAATCTTGAAGTCAAACTTGGGCTTCATCATGGCTTTGGTTTCCAGGAAGGACAATGGGTAGCCAAGACTAGGGACTAAGAATATCAACTGTGTAGCCGCTAATAGCTAAAGACTCCCATTGAATAGCTTTATGTAGTACAAGTAACGAAGTGTTTTCCAGTACTAAAAGAGATGAAATCATCATCGTCTAACAGGATGAAACCCCGGTCTCTGCTCGAGCAGATTGACCAAGGGTATGAACAGCCTGTGGTTGGAGTCTGGATCGCTATGATACGAGGAAACTTCTTCCCAGGTCACCCACTTCCACTGCTCACATTTGTGGGGCTCCAATAGCTAGAAGGAATGATTAGCTGAGGGTGTATCAACGTAGCGTCGTTCTGGAGAATAAGGCCTTATGTGAATTATGTTGCAATAACACTAACCTCTGGCTGTGCATCATCACCCACAACAGTACAGCCCACAAAAACAGTAACATAGTGCTTTCCCTCTTCTCTCATGATATCGTTGGTCGCTGTGAGGAACTGTATGTCGCGGACTATGAGACCCGTCTCTTCTAATACTTCACGTGCCGCGCAGTCTTCGAACGACTCGTTTAATTCGAGATGACCGCCGGGTAGGGCCCATGTACCTGTGTAGAGGCATCAGAAACAGAATTGAGCTTAATGGTACCATCATACGACCAGAACGAACCAATGGACTCTATATGGGGACTTACTTACCAGCACCATGACTGCTTTTGCGCTGACCAAGAACGATTTGTCCCTTGGGATTGATGACGAAGACGCCTACGCCTACTCGGGGTTTCATAATGGGAGTGATTCGTAAGTGCGAATTGATTGAGAGAGGCGTGGAAAATATTATTCTAAAATGAGCCAATTGTGCGACTTAGAGAGAGTAAAATATCGCTATGTTTCCCAAAGAAGGGACTTTTTACATGATATTTTGCGTCAGATAAGGCGGGGGTGAGAAATGGAAATTCCATTGTAAATACCAGATTGTACTAAATGGCGGGGTTGGGATGGAACCAAACTTGGGCTTATTATCAAAGCCGAGGTTAGCTACTGTAGTAAATTAAAGACGATGATCTATAGCCATTCGGGTGTCAGGTAGGATGCAATTTACAGGCCCAGAACAGCAGTATTGTACTTTTCACTAAGGATTAGAATTACGCTCACAGAGAGATCTGTTGACGCTAGCCTACATTGGTTGATGGCTGCATGAGGTGGCTAGCAAATACCGAGACTCGTAGTATAAGATCAAAATTACCACCTAACGTAGACACACTATGAGATCTTCTTATGAAAGTCCTCCAATGAGACATGAGCGCTAAAGTGTATCATAGATTAAAGCCCTGGGATCCAGACTCCTCGTTAACCGCAAGGACAGAGTCCTAGGAACTAGTAGCATGTAAGATGGCTGGTAGACCATAATGCCAATTATGACCGCTTTTCTGACCGCCGAAAGCGGCAGAACCTAGTCGACCTCGCAGAAAAAAGTACGGATATAAGCGGATATGAGCGGATATATTTTTGAACAGCTCCGGAAGAGGCGAGTTGCATTCTGTATAATTTGTGACCGCCTTGTTTGACCGCTCCAGGCCGCGGCAGAATACAATGCCATGTGTATGTGAGCCATTGCGTTCATAGGATCTTTAGTATGGTAAAGATACCCGGGGATTCAATCATGATTTGAGATCGAGTGCCAATGCTCTAGCTCTACACTAAACTGATAGACTACTAACTACCACTACTATAATGGTTATAATGCCTAAGGCACCAAGACGATCAGGGTCCGCGCGCCAATCATAGGGCGAGCCTAAAGGCGGGGCAGATGACGGCTGATTGGCCGGAAATGGCGGGCAGGACGTCAAGGGCGTCACCGGACTGGCGGAGGATTGGCCAACCTGAGGCAGGCATGGGCGTGTGGATGGCCTCAACCGCGTCTGGCGCTTTGCTTGACCTCTCCATCATGTGCTGATGTTTATCTTCGTCTCTCATCCACCCGGACCATAACAATAACTGCCATCCCACGTTTTATCCACGCCACACTGTCTCGGCTGTTCAAACCCTCTCCTTATCGTGAAGCCTACCACCTAACTAACCGCCCCGGGAGAAATTCGTGAGAACCTCACCATGCTCCATGCGGTCTGATACGCACAACTGCCACCGTGACACGTGTAAAAAGTGGTCTCAGTTGCAAACATGACGTCGTCTAGCAACCCTTCAACTCTATCCCATAGCCGGGCTATCCCATTCGCGAGTCGGCTCAGCGAACAACTGTCGCAGCGGACCGCGCAAACCAGTTCAGGCACCGATCCCGACCATGCCGGCGACAGAAACACACCTACACTTGGGCCTCCATTGCGTCCTTCACCGAATACTCGCTCGCTGAGCGATGCGGGAAAACCAGTTTCCGCCATGCCGATCAATCACGATGATTCCCGCCCGCCCAGCAAAGATGACTCCTCCCTCTCCTCCACCCCCGAAACGCCCCAGCGGCCGTCCATGCAGAGTCTCTCGTTGAACCTCTCTGCCAGATCTTCCGGACCTTTATCCTTATCCAATCGTGCCCCGCTTTCCCCGAAGCTTGATTCCTCGGCCATCTACGGCTCGCCGGGCTCCGTGCTGCCCCGTCGTTCCCGAGGCCTGGACTTCTCGCGAGCTTGCACCAATCTCCATCACTCGACCCTTGCAGAAGCGTCCCCGGACTCCTCCCCGACTGTTGGCGGGCGCGGTGTAAATATCCCGCAGCGGCGCGGCTCGCCAGCTTCAGTCTCTGGCCTCCAGTTCTCCACCTCGAACCCCGCCGACAAGGCCACAATCTCGAGCTCGGTATCCAGCGTCAACATGATGGAATCCGATACAAGCAGTAGTGAGGAGGATGACGAACCCATGATTGGCGACCGCGACGATATGATGATCACCAATACACCCCAGGCGAAGCGGTTGGGAGGTGGAATGAGTCCGTTTGCTGTAGGGAACGTCTCCAGCCCGGGAAATGAGTGGATGGGCGGCTATTCGCAAGCAGCCGCGAGTCTTATGAGCTTCCAGCGGGCCCGTTTCCGTAAGGGACGAAGCAGGCACAGCTCTAGCAGTGCTAGTGGCAGTTCCAAGCAGAGTCCGGGTCCTCTCTCACCACCCGTGATGAAGAGTATCGAAGGCCAGAATGGGGGCTACTTTGGCGCAGGTGCCCGACGGGCTAGTCTCAGCATGGGTACGCGGGATTTGCGCCTTTCAGATGTCAGCGACGAGGGTGAGAACCGCGGTGCGCGTGGGCAGAGCCCAAGCACGTCGAACTCCGAGGGCGGGCCTTTGGGGGTGATTCGACGGGCCGTTACCCGTCGTGGGAGCTTACTCGTAAGTACTTTATTCCGATCACATAGGATGCATCTGACTCTGTTAGCCAAAAACGAAAACCTTTGCGCGTATTCGGGCGGCATTGATGGAGGAGTCTGCTCCAATTGATAGCGAGGCCAAGCGAGAAGCGGAAGTTATTCGACAAGTCAAAGAGAACGAACCTGACGTTGAAGCGAAATCGCCGCTGGGGGATTTGTCGGCTCTTGACACGTCCACTCCTGTTGCCCACGGGCAAACCCCAGAGGAAATCCCTCCAAAAGCCGGATTGACGACACCGGACGAACCAAAATTCATCGATCAGGCCAACCGAAATTCGGGAGGAGTCGAGTTCTGGAATTCATTCGACGAGCGCTACCGCACGCCGCCCCCACCCCAACGCCGACATGGAGCTTCATCGGTCTCGGAAGATGACCTTGCTATGGACATCACACCATCTACCACTGTAGGTTCGACTACAGAATTTGCTAAACCGAGCGAACGACCCGGCTCGCGCAGTGAAGCATCTCAAGGCGCCCCGGCTGGGTTTGTTGGCGAGTTCAGGAGGAAACGCCGTCGGGATGATGATTTCGATCCGAACCTCTTCAAGCGGCGAGCGGTATCGCCAAGCATGAGCGCACAGAGTAGCCCGGTCATGCCTAACTCACCGGTGGTCAAGGACACGAGTCCCAGCATCTGGGGGCCACCAAGATCGAACCTTGGCTCGCTGTTCCCCGACCGGCCTGTCACCGAAAATGGACCTCGCAATGGTAACAACCATACCGGAACCCTGAAACGAGTGGGACTGCATGGGATGAATGAAACCAGCGATGGCTTCATGAACATGAGCATTGAGTAGGCTGGCTGAGCCTGTCTACATCATTATAACTATTACAACATTCTTCGGTATCGACTAAGGATTCAATGCTGTTAGCGGGATCGGTTGAGTTTGGCGTTATCTCTGCATTCATTGGTGCTATACTTGGGACATAGCTTAACTGCATCATAACTAATCATAATAAACATTATACTGCGTACTGAAGTGAATGCATCAGAGTTGCTTGTTAGACCTTAGTGATATAGTAAGTAGAGTTGTAGAAATGCTATACGGATAGCGGCAGGTCAGGGGCCACGTGCGGGCTCGGCGGGACTCGCGCTAACTCCGTGTTGACATCGGAGCTCCATCTGCTCACCCAGCATCCACTGCCCCTCTATCCTTCGTGCTTAATCCCTTCTTAGCTTACCTTTACCCTTTAACATACTCAACTCTGGCAGCTGAGTACGTTCCATAATCATCCATGGCATCCACAACCGAACTCGCATCCTCCTTCATCGAGGGTGCCCCGCCCGGCGAGGTAGGCAGCTACCCCCTCATGCTCCTATACCTGCATGCCCCCGATCATAACTAACAGCATCTATTAGCTCGCAGACGTCGTCGCAGGTATGCAATGCAATTCGGACCCTTCATTTCGATCGTTGCCACCCGCATCGTACCCCGCACCAAGCCCATACTAAGCAGCTCTACAGACGTCAAGGCTCTCACCTCCGACGGTCCCGACATCATCCCCTCCCTCGCACCGGCCTTCGAGCGCTACAATGAGACACAGCTGGCGACTGTGAAGCTTCCCGGAGCGAGCCAGGAGGTACGTAGCCACATTCCTGATGGTGGAGTCGACCGTCCGTCCTGACAACCTCTAGGTCCTGATCAGCGAATACAACAAGCTCGAGGGAAACCGGTACTTCGATGTGGAAAGTCAGACGTCGTTTGAGGTGGACCATGTCACGCAGGTGGGTGGACACAAGCCATTGGGAAGACAAGGAATTGACAGGGAATAGGAAGCATCGGCAGCACAGTCATACGTCCTGGAGTCTCAAAATGCGGATTTGATGTACGCACTTTCCCCTTGTATCTGACTCAGTCACAGGGTGTATTGCTAACAGGATTGCAGCAAATCTCTCCTCAAGTCCCTCTCCGCACACGCCACCGAACACTACCGCACCTGCAGCTACGGCGTCTACCCGATCGAGGACGATACCGCTGTGGCCATTGTCCTCGTTGCGAACCGCTACTCGCCCAATAACTTCTGGTACACCCCCATTTCAGGTTCTGGATGATGAAATACTAATTGGCGACAGGAATGGTCGCTTCCGCGCCATCTACACTCTCCCCGTGAACTCCTCTTCGACCACCATCTCCGGCCAGATCAAGGTCGATGTGCACTACTATGAAGACGGCAACGTGGCTCTCAACACCAACAAGCCGGTGAATCTGTCGGTGCCATCCGTGGATGCCAGTTCCATCATCTCGCGCATCGCGGCTGCGGAGCGGGATTACCAGGAGGAGTTGAACCGGGCGTTTGTTAGCACGGCAGAGGGAGTATTCAAGGGGCTGCGGAGACAGTTGCCGATCACACGGCAGAAGGTTGAGTGGGAGAAGGTCGGAGGATACCGGCTGGGACAGGATATTGCGGGAGGACGGTGATTGTTGTAGATGTGTAGATTAGCGTTGAACAATTGTGTGAATTTGAAAGTGACATGTCACGTACATCATCCTCGTTGTGATCCTGATGGGGTGAATATGATAGATAAGCGGATACCGAGCCGATATCGCGTACCCGCCATACCAGCAGCCCCTTGGCAAATAGCCTAATTAATTCCTAGTACTTAAACCGCGTCGTTACCCACCGCCGCCAAATAACACATCTACAATAGACTGCATACCCCCGCACATATACCCCCAGAGCAATAGAAAGAAACCAGAATGTTAGACCATTTATACCGCTTCACGCGCACCACCCCAGGTCTTGAAAAGACCCTCCGTCTCGTCCAATCCTTCTGTGTGCTGGCCCTGCAAATACCCACTCTGGAAAATGAGTCCATTTCGCGTTTCACCACCGCCAAGACACAGTTTGCTTTGAGTTAGTTCTTCCATAACCCTACGTGGGTACCAACATCCACCATTGGGATCAACTAGTATTGAACATTAAACAGCAAGACGTTTCCTCCGCTTCTTCAACTTCATCGACTGCTTCAATAAGGCGTTTGCTTTGCTGGGCAGCCCTTCTTCCGCTCAAAACAATGTCATCAAGACAGTCATTGAAATAAGCAAGTGGTCCTGCTTTGGATGTTACTTTCTCTTGGAAGATTTAACCCTGGTATGTTTCCGTTCCCTTGCTATCTAACCCATGATATAATACTAAAGTAACATGCAAGTTACACGCAACATCCATCTACCCAAACCCCTACAACAAAACCATATTAACAGAAGCGAATAAATTCTGGTTCTATGCGCTGGGATTCTCGATCTTGGGTGCTGCTTTTGATATTACGTTCTCTTCGGCGTCATCTGCGTCTAAAACGAAGGACGAGAAGAAAAAGGAGCAAGCTCCTTCTTTAGACCGCTTCTCGCTACTGAAGAAGATGCTCTGTGTTGATGCTTGTGATCTGCTTATCCCTGGTACCTTTTTGGGGTGGATTGAAATGGGTCAGTTAGGGGTTGGCGTGGGGATGGTGGTTAGTACCCTTGTTTCGGGGTGGGATATGTGGAATGCTGTTTGATCTGCCGGAGGGGTTAGTGAGGGTATATAGATCTTCATATCTTGGTAGATATAGAGTGGAGGGAACATGTGATCTTCGTAGATATTCAAATAAACCAGTATCTACTTACTCTTCATCTCTATACACCCACCCAGTCCTCCCACCCCTCTTCCCCGATATCAGGAACCCCCATATCTCCAAACAAACTATTGAACAGCGCCACATCCACCGCATGCAAATCCCATTCTTCACTACCACCAATACCACCACTCCCTATGTCCTCCTTCTCACTCCTCTCAAACCCAATCGTCCCATAATACGGAATATATACATGCAAACTCCTCCCTCCATCTCCTACCCTCCCATCATACTCCCTTCCTCCCTTCCCATCCTCACCCATATTCTCCCTAGCCACATACCCAACACCTCCGGCAGCACTCTCCTCCACCCCCAACAGATGCCTCATTATACCCGCCAATTTCCCCGCAATCTCGTCCGTCCCTGACCCTGACTCCACCATATCCTCAATAATAGAGAGTGTCCGCTCCATCATCCCGCGATCACTAGGTCGACTATGCGCGAGGAAACTGACTACTATCCCTATTCCTCCCTGCTTCTCGCGGTGGAGATGACTTGAAGAGTCGATATGCGCAATACACAACACCGTCATCGCCACAAAAGCAATGAAATCCACCCCGCGGCAGTAGTAATGCGCTGGATTGGAGGAGCGGAAAGCGATATACCGGGCCAGTATCTCGCGACTCACTGTTATGATGGTGAGTTTGCTTTGGTCATATGCTGTAGAGTCTTGGGGTGAGCGGAGCAAGTAGGGGAGGTGCAGACGGAGGAGGAGCTGGTAGTGCGTGAAGTGGGCGTTTAGGCGGAGGGTATTCTGGATGATGGTGGCTTGGGTTTGGTTGGGTGTTAGGTCTGGAATGAGCCACCACTGGGGAGGCATCTGGGCGGCTGCGTTCTGGAGCATTTGGTCGATGTCGTTCGTCAGAGAGAGGTTGTTGATATCATCTTCTGTGCGGTGGAGGATACGGCCAGCTACGATGCAGTGCATGCGATGCATGCGGTCTTGGGGTGTGCATGTTTCTAGGGCTTTAGGAGAGAGGCACCGTGGTTCGAGATTGGTAGGTGGTAGGCCGAGCATGAGGGAGAGGTAGTGGTCCATTTCGACGAGGCGGAAACACAGGTAATCTGGATTCAGAGTGTTGCGGGTTGCTGGATCGAGAGTTTTCAGGGATGATGCGGGGAGTCCGCGGTGGAGCGACAGCATTTGTGCGATGGCTGTGGCTCGGCGGATAGCTAGCCAGGCTTGATGGAGGTTACCAGCGTAGTTCTGGTACTGGGCTTCGAGCATGATGCATTGCAGGCCTTCGATGGAGGGCGTGAGCTCGTCGTTTGTGGTCACTAGTCTGGTGGCACGGGTGACGGCGCGGGTCATGATGTCGTGGTAGGAGATGGATAGGTTAGATAGGGTCTGGATGGAGGATGGGGGGATGCCTTGGAGGAAGATAGCGAGGGTGAGGAGTTTGCGTGTGATTAGGACGGGGTGGGAGCTTGGTGCTGGTAATTGGAGCATTTCTTGGGGAGTTGGTAGTTTGTCGTCTGCGGAGAGGGAATTAGGGACCCAGATTTCGTAGTTCATATATACTGATATGCCAACAGGGAGATTGTAGATATGGTTGAGCTCCCTCTGGCTGGGCCAGGCAGCGAGAAGGTCGCGATTTATGCTCTCATACGGGCCTGCGGGGATGTTGTTCTCTGGGGACGGCTCCTGGAGGTATCAGCATTGAAAAAATGAAATAGGTATTCGAGGACTAAGCTCACTTGATCTTTTTGGCTGCAGCGTATACTATAATTTTCCAGTGTCCCAGAAGTTGGGGGAGTTTCGGGGCAGTCCCCAGGAGATACAGCTTTCGTGGCGTTTGAGCGAACCAGCTGTTCCAGGATTCTCTCCACTCGGTCGAGTCGAGCATCGACCAAATCTTTGCTTGTAGGCATAGGGCTATCTGGGAGCTCCTGACTGATGCATTTAGATCCCCGTCGACTGCAGTTATCGCAGTTGGCATTGGAGTAGGAGCTGAAGATACATCGAACCTTGCGCCGCTTGCATTCCCAGCAGCTCCTTGTGCCCTTGCGGACCTTTCTCCGCTTCGCTTGTGAGTGCTCCTCCATATTCGTTTCAGTCACTATCAGGCAAGCTTCCGTGTCTCTCGGTCGAAAATTGAGGGGACAGGGAATGAGATGCTCTGCGGAAGGATCTCGGACTAAGGTGTTGGATTCGCCCGAACTCGGCGGAATAACGCCATGCTCACATCAGCCCTAGTACAATACGCTATGACGGGAATAATGTCTCGAAAGACGTGTTATATTTACTAAGCTAGATAAACTTCCCTCTGCGTATCCGTATCACTCTTCTCAGCCGGGTACTCGAGCCTTTCCTTTCCACGCCTCAGTCAGGAACTTCTCGACGGGGGTGAATTCGAAATCAGACAGAAGACTATTCCATTCATCCGAAACAGCATAGGATCCAGCATTAACCGCCAAAAGGATCCTGCTGGTCATATATTTCGAGGCCACTGCCACCTGCTCGGGCGGAATTGAAGGATGATCCACTGTTGGTGTCCACGACGTCTCCCACGTCCCAGCTTCCAAGTCCTCCGCCTTCACTCGCTCAATGGTAAATGGGAGCCCACCTGGAGATAATGAGTCAGAACATATTTTTATGTATGTAAAGTTGTAGGAAAGAAACCCACCGCGAGCTCTCTCTCCTAGAGCGATAAATTCACCGATGGAGATGTTAAAACCCTGGATACCTCCAACCACTGGCCACTCGCCTTCATATTCAACAGCTCTGGCCACAACTCTAGCGATATCCTGAACTGCCGTCAAGGTGATACGGGTTCCATCGTCTCCGTCCACCAGGATCATTCGGCGGTTAGCAAAGTCGAAGGGGGTTGCGATTGAGGGCAGGTGGCGGGCCGATTGATGTGGATGGGTCAGATAGTTTACGAACACGCCGGGCTGAAAGAGGGTATACTCGAGGACCTGATTGAGTTGGTTTAGATGTTCCGCCTGGTGGAATGTTGTATGATCGTACCTTCTTATCCTTGTTCAGCTCTTGGAGATACCGGCGCGTTTCGCCTTTGTAGGCATACCAGTCCAGGTAGTCCAAGCGGGAGCTGTACTAGGTTAGTGTTTGGATGATAGTAGAAGTGGGATAAAAAGTCTCACGAAGCCCATTCACTCGGCGCAAAGCGCTTCACTCCGGCCTGAACAGCCGCATTGATGAGGTTCTTCTGAGTGGTGCTTCCGGGATCATCCTGCGTAGTGATGAAGGAGAGAACGGTGTGCACTTCTTGAAGAGCCTTGATTAGTTGAGTGGTGTCGTTGTAGTCGACTTTGATCCAAGTGATGCCTTCGGTAGGTTCTTGGGCTAGAGTATCCTGCATAGACTCGTTAATGTAAAAATACTTCTATTGACTGCGGTCATCGGACATGACGAACCTTTCTAGTCAGAACAATGATTTTATGTTTGTTTGCAGCAATAAGGGCGTCGATAACCTCTCGGCCAACACCTGTTCGAGTGTTAGTGATATAACTGGTGAGACCACGAAGGATGGAAAAGTTCACCGCCGGAGCCTCCAGCAATTGCAACCTTGACCATTTTCAAAGTGGAAATGAGAAAAACCCTTAAAGTATAGAATTCAATTATTCTTATGGTTTGTGCGAACTGGAGTTGTATGTGTTGGGCTCAACGGTGCCGGAGACAGCTGGTCTATATACTGGCTTGGACCGAGAGTTCGGCCGAAGTTATGGCACCATCAAATATCGAATCTTGAATTAATCTCATCCTTTCTATGACAAATTTACTTGCTTTGATGATCAAGACAGCTTCTACAAGGAAGTTTCGGTCGAATATCGGAGATTAACATCACTACATACTAGCAGTTTTTCGCTTAAAGGTCAACACTACTGGACATCCGACGGTGATTGGCGTATCGTAGACATTCCTCAATGATTCAAGCTACATCGCAATCCAGATACCCTGTGCACTGCAGCAAGTTCAGTAGGTCGGGCATCAACTAGAGATCAGCATTGTCCCTAACGTCAATGCAGAACAGCTCCGTCTCAGCATAGATAGTCTCAGGGTCTCCACAGGCACTAGCCCAAAGGCGATAGTTGCAACTAGGAGAAAATATTAGCATACATGTCTATTGTTAATTATATCTGGCATAGCATACTTGAGAGGGACATCCATCGGTCCAGGTGGAGGGATGGTAACCTCATCTCGGCCCATGACCGCGTATCGCAGGACGAGCTCGGTCACTGGAGGATAGTCAACGCGGTTGGTAAGGTAGATGCAAAAGGTCTTGTTCTCCTCTCCACTGCTTCAGTCAGCAAGTGTAAAAAAATCCCTCTGAGGGCAAAAGCTCACGAGACATGGGACCATTTGACCGTCAAGGGCTCCTTGAGGTCCCAAGTAGTCTGGGCTGGTTCACCGCCACCTGGCTTTTCCCAAAGCATGTTGATAGATCGGTAATGATAAACTAAATGTGTGAAATATGTTGAGTTTGAACACAGGTCAGAACGATGGCATGGTATCGAGAGCAGAAATGAGCAAGACGAACTGCTCAATTATATACCCGCGGGTGTGCACAATGCCTTCGACAGAGGCAGGGATCCAGAAGTGCTTTGACCGAAGGTGACGACGATATATGACTACAATTGCAGTTAGTATAGTTATTCAACTGTTAGTCTGTTAAACAGTGAGGTAAATCATGATGTAGATGTCCATCAGAGGCTGCCTAGGCGAGCGGAGATGCGCAACAAGGTGTAGATGCTGCCTGAGAGATGCAGATACGAGCATTTCACAGCATCCTATGGTTGCAGCTTGCGTTACAGAGGCCCAAGCATTGTCCATGGCACTCCCTTCCAGTACATGAATAGATGAGATGTCGAACCAGGACGTACGTTCTATGGGAGGGCGTCTGCAAGATGCATATTAGGTCCATCCAAAAGCTCATCGCCGCTTACACAATTGGCTGGAGGATAAAGCGTTCGGCTATCTAAGCTTCAGATATAAAACCTTTTGCTTTCCAAAGCTCATTCCAGCAAGGATCTATAAGCTTACTATGGATTTGATTACCCCACTGTGTAACAATGGATGCAAAGGGTCCCTTGTCAATCTGATGAGCTCTCCTTCAGATTCGGAATGTGTGAACGCAACCCATGAATAATTTCGGTGTCACAGTACATCGGCGAATAACCTTCACATTTCTCAGTATGCCCGAGACTCCCACACTCGCCACTATAGAATTATAGTACGTAAAGATCTGAGTCCTTGCGGCTCGTAGTTCGAGGAATGCGGTTATTTTACAGCCAGTCGCTACCAAACCTTCGAGAACTCCGACCAGAGATAGAACCCCAGACATGTTAACAGCTCCGATAGTCTGGGAATGAGAGAAGATTCATTGGAGGGGGGATACCTCGAGGCTAAACTGGGGCTTGCATTCACTTCGCGACATCTTCAATACCATACTTTCCTACACGTTAAGAAATTCCTCTTCTAGGTCTTCCGCCATCTTTCATGTTTTTTCTTCTACCTTATTCCTCTAAAGCCTCCAGTGTCAACCAATGGCCTGTATTTGAATTGCTAACATTCCGAAGAATTCAAGTTACTTTCTGCACACCATAGCAGTTAGCACCATGCTAACTTTGAAGTCGTCATTGATGACCACCGGTGTGGTCTTCCCATGCGGTTAAAAGCCCTCAGTTGCCTTTCTTACCTGGCATCTTCTAGCAAGAATATGGCCGATTCCAATTGCTTTCATATTTACTAACAGTCACCGAGAGACATGGTAGAAAATGCGGTCTTCTGAACTGCTATCGTCACTTAAAAGATGCCAGAAACCTTTCGCAACATCAGCACAGAGATGAAAAAATAATTCTAGTCCCGATGAAATATGCTAATGTCAACAATCGATAACATGAGAGTGCCTGTGCCGTTCCCCGCCTGACAGAATTTTCCATGGAATTTTGCTTGCACGTGGTTAGTAAATAGCGGATATCCCCTCTACATATCCTGTCAGGGCAGGACATGCATCCGTAAGCCAGTGGGATAGTGGCAAATGATTCCCGGAGAGGAATCCGCAGTGGATCTTCATGATCGGCTCACACCCCGCAATCGCCTTGTGAATATTCTTCCCTCTATGCTTCTTGTCATCTCGGAAACTTCTCCTTTATTGCATCATCTGCCCCCATCTTGATTTTCCATATTTATCTCACGGTTCCAGAACTACTCGGTATTGATTGCTCGGAAAAGTTGTTTTGTAGCTCAAGTATGCAATCGTGCAAACCCTACCCGGAAAACTAATTGAATTCACTCGAGTTGTAACCATAGTTCTGAAAGTCAAGACCAACAATATGACCTCTTATCACACTCCATTTACCCCATTTATTACATTAAATAACATTTAAATCTTTATATACTACGGCGTTCGATGAGTGAGTGCACTGTCTCCGGTGATGTTCGCGCAGAGGCAGTGACCGGATAAAAATCCGATCAGCACTAGCATTTCCGAGCCCTCCATCACAGCATCGGACATCGTCTTCATTGAACAATAGGGTATCTGGGACTAATTTAAATACTGACATTTCTTCAATGATCGATCCAAGTTACTCAAGATAGAATCTGCTTACTAAATATCTTGTCTATGTAACAACAACAACCCAAAGATCAAGATGCTCTCTACAGTCGCACCACACCCACCCACACTACAGGAGCCTCTGTCTAAAGGCGATGTCACTTTGCCTTTGGAATCCCAAGAGCCTTCGACAATTGACGAGCTTGTTCGTCAGCGTGCATCACTTGGGGCCGCTCAGCCCATCATCTCCTATCCGAGCACCGGCATTGAATATGTGGACTATCCACTGCAGCAACTGGATGTCTTCGCATTCCGCGTCTCCAAGGTGCTATCAGATCGCATTCCGCCCCGGAAGTCGTCAGCTGAAACCCCCAAAGTCATCGCTTTACTGGGGCCATCTGACCTCAACTACCTGGTGATGCTGCTTTCCCTAGCTAAGCTGAGTCACAGTGGACTGCTTTTATCAACCAGGATATCCGTGGATGCTTACGTCTCGCTACTGGAGAAGACCGGGTCAAGGCATATCTTCATTCATAGCTCTTTCCGGGACACCGCTGAAGATATCAAGAAGCGGGTACCTGAGCTTGTCATTGATGAGATCCCGACTGAGGAAAACTATCACTATCCCATTACGGAGGATGTCGACACGAACCTGGTCCCGCACCTTGACCCGAAAATTGAGTCCAAACATATCGCATGGATTATTCATTCCAGTGGCTCGACTGGACTTCCGAAGCCTATCTTCCACACCCAATCTGCTGCACTGAAGAATTACTCGGGACATATGAACATGTCGGGGTTCGTTACTTTGCCGCTGTACCACAACCATGGAATCAGCTGTCTCTTCCGGACAATTCACGCTAAGAAACAGCTGCATCTCTACAATGCCAATCTTCCATTGACCAGGCAGTACCTGCTTGAGATTATGGGCTCGAACGCTTTCGAGATCTTCTATGGTGTGCCGTATGCACTGAAGCTGTTGGCTGAGACACAGGAGGGAATATCCGCTTTGGCTAAGCTTAAGGCCGTCATGTTCGGAGGGTCAGCATGCCCGGACTCTCTAGGAAATCTGCTAGTCGAGAATGGTGTTCACCTCATCAGTCACTACGGATCGTGAGCGCTTCTCAACCGCATTGGAATATTCTACTAACACACATGCAGAACTGAGACCGGTCAGCTCATGATGTCCACCAGGCCTCGCGAAGACAAGGGATGGGACTGGCTCCGCCCCTCTGACTATGTCAAGAAATTCTTGAGGTTTGAAGAGCGCTTTCCGGGAGTATTCGAGCTAGTGTGTCTAGATGGATGGCCCTCTAAGGTCATGACCAACCGACCTGATGGCTCGTACGCCACCAAGGACCTGTTTGTCAAGCATCCCACCATGGAGGCATACAAGTACTATGCTCGTCTGGACGATACAATAATCCTATATAATGGAGAAAAAGTCAACCCACTTGACCTAGAAGGGCGAGTCCGGCAGCGCAGCACTGTTGCCGAAGCCATTGCATTCGGAGCAGGCAAAGCCCAGATCGGACTGGCTGTCGTCCGCGCACCTGGCACCGAGTCTCTCTCCGATGAAGAGGTCATTGACAGCATTTGGCCGGCTGTTGAGAAGGCTCATGAGGCGCTACCTGCGTTTGGACAACTTTCGAAGAATATGGTTCGAGTGTTGCCTGCAGATACTCCCTACCCTCGGACTGACAAGGGCACCATCATCCGCCAAGCCTTCTACAAGAACTTCCAACCTTTGATTGAAGAAATTTATGCCGCTGTGGATGCCATGACTGGCACGCTAGTTCTGTCTGAGCTTGAATTGAGGGACTTCCTTAAGAAGCAAATTCTGCAAATTCTGCCCCTCAAAGACACCAGCCTGTTGACAGATGACGCTGATTTCTTCTCACTGGGCATGGACTCCCTACAAGCCAGCCAACTACGCACTGTGCTCGTCCAGAACTTGGACACCAAGGGGCAGCAACTGGGGCTCAACATTGCCTTCGAGCAGCCCACTATTGCCGTGCTCGCCCGTTTCCTGGCCGCTGTACAGTCCGGAGAAGCCCTTCCAGATTCTCAGCCGATCCCTGAACAGATGCGTGCACTCATCTCACAATTCAGCCACTTTGAACCACATGTTCCACTTCCCAATGACCTTCCCGGTCGTTACGTCGTAAGTCACTTTTACCATCTCAACAAGTACACCCTCCTAACAATCACAGGTCCTCACCGGCGCCACCGGCTCCCTCGGCAGCCACGTTGCACATCAACTCGCGCAGAACCCCTCCGTGAACAAAGTCTACTGCCTTATCCGCGCCTCCTCTCCCATCGAAGCCTACAAGCGCCTCCACGACGCTCTCCAAGCCCGCCACCTCTACACCCCTCTCTCATCTTCCTCCAAAGCCAAGCTCATCGCCCTCCCCGCCCCAGCCCTATCCCACCCAACTGTCTCCCTCCCGGAAGAAACCTACAACACTCTCCTCACCGAAACCACCGACATCATCCACTGCGCCTGGCCCGTCAACTTCAACCTCCAGCTCAGCAGTCTCGCACACGACACTCTCCCCACCCTGCACAACCTCCTCACTCTAGCCCTAAAAGCCCAGCGCCCCGAACCCGCCACGTTCAACTTCTGCTCCTCCGTCAGCAGCGTCGTGAACAGCACCGTCTCCCCCATCCCGGAATCCCTCCCCGACTCCCTCACCGCCGCACAGTCCATGGGCTATGCGCAGTCCAAGCTCATCGCAGAACACATCTGCGCCAACGCCACGCCCTACCTGGATGCTCGTGTCCTCCGTATCGGGCAAATCATCGGCGACACCAAGCACGGGGTATGGAATGCCACGGAGGCGATTCCCCTGATGCTTAGGGCTGCGGTTACGGTGGGGGCGTTGCCGAGGCTAGATGAGAGGATGCGGTGGGTGCCGGTTGATGTTGTTGCTGGGGCAGTG